GTTTATCTCGCGTCGCGTCATAACGCAATATGACGCGATGCGTGACGCGCTCAGTGGGAATTTATCCTTATAACTTTATCATCGATAATTTATTTTCACATTCCTAAACTCATCGGAAAAGGATGTTAGAAAAGAGATGTCATTGGTTGGATATTACAATGAAAAAGTTATATGAAACCAAGTATACTCATTATGATAACGACATCGAAATCACATTTTGTATCGATATCGTTTCGTTAGCTTGTGTTACAGAATAGCTTTATCATTATAGTATCGCCAGCGCAAGCGATGATTGTCGCTATGTAACGATAACGACATTGTCGTTACGAAGTAAGCCAGCGGCATACGATGCTTTTATTCTTGCTGGTTTGTTAGCTGGATTCGCATGCTTGTTGAACTCTTGTCTTCGATTGGTATATTTTTTTAGATCCAAAAAAATATACCAATCAGAGACAAAAGCTCAACGAGCACGCAAATCCAGCTAGCAAATCAGTAGGAAAAAAATCGTGTGCCGCTGGCTTTAAAGAATACTGATTAGTGTCGGTCCACAATAAGTGATTTAAGCTTTAAAAAATAAGAAATTGACCAATTATAATCGAATATGAAAAGAATACTCGACTATGATTAGTCAATTTCTTACGGCTTAAAGATTAAATACTTATTGTGGACCGACACTTACATACCTCGCTCACGCATACGCAATTCATTTTAACAAAACATTTTACGCAAAACATCAAAGACACCAACGGAGAGTTACGCTATTGTATATACTGTGGCACAATATATACAGTAGCGCAACTCTCTATCGGCACCTTTGATGTCAGTGTTGGCCAAAATAGAATGCGCATTCGTGAAATAAGTAAGTTAACTCGTATCGCCATCTGAACTTCCTTTTCGTTTTATCCTCTTTGTTGTTCTTTTTTTAACTCATTAATATATTGAAAATAATTTATATTTAAAAGATTAAGAAATATGATTTAGAAATATGCTATTAATGATGCATTGAAAAATAAGGAATGAATATAAAAGTCAGGAAAGATGTGAAATATAAAATATATAAAATGTAAAATATATAAATGTGAATGTAACGATATGTTAATGTAATTTAAAAACATAAATATTATACTATAAAAATATGATGTGTGTGTGTGTGTGTGTGTGTGGTGTGTGTGTGTGTGTGTGTGTGTGTGTGTGTGTGTGTGTGTGTGTGTGTGTGTGTGTGTGTATATGGCATATCACATAATGTAACAAAAAAAAAGAAAAATAGCTAAATATAATTATTATGTATATAAATATTATGTGTTACAATAATTTTATGTATTATAATAATAAATATACAAAAATTTATAGAAAGATACTCAAATGTGAAAATAACAAAAGTAAATATTTTATTAACGGGTAAAATAAAGATACACTTTCTGAATACAAAATATAATTATATTTTTTACAATACAATAAGAAATATAATTTTATTTAAATTTTTTATAAATATTATATAAAATGAAAAAAATCATGTTATAAATACTATACTTATAAATACTAATTATGCATTTAATGAAATCAATAATGTGAATCAAATATCAAAATATCAAAACATAAATATTACAAATATCACAAATATTTAGACATTTAAATGATAAATTTTATTAAAAAGAGAAAGAATGAGAGAGAAGAAATAGAAAGAAGATTAGATGGCATTAGTGTCGGTCCACAATAAGTATTTAATCTTTAAGTCGTAAGAAATTGACCAATTATAGTCGATTATTCTTTTCATATTCGATTATAATTGGTCAATTTCTTACTTCTTAAAGCTTAAATCACCTATTGTGGACCGACACTTACTGGGCAACTTACTTATTTCGCGCATGCGCACTCCGTTTTGGCCAACAAAATTGGAAGAATTGCGCTACTGTATATACTATGGTAGTGGTATAGAGTCTGTATAGTATAGTAACGGTATAGTCTGTAACGGTCCACGATAGAAGATTAGTGTTGCTAGATGAACTGGCTGCTGCTGACTATTTGTGAAAAGTCATAGACGCAGTGCATAGTCTAAAGTGCAAACGTTTCGTCTTGCGTCAACTCAATCTTTGCCGTAGTTCATACCTTCGATTTATCTCCTTTTCCTCCGTTAAAAGCCTTACGTTCATGGTCAAAATGAAATGTACTACGTTGTACTTCACTGCCGTAGTATTACTTCTCGGTATGTTTGGAATTTTCTTATATTTGTCTATATATCCCATGCTTTTACGACAGTGATGAGCATCAATAGGTCAATTTAAGATTAGCATGGATAAGATAAATTTTCCCGGGTTCCACTATTGATTTATCTTTTTTTCAGTTTTTTTTTTATTAGATAAGTAAGTTAAGTATATACTCTATCTCGCGTAGTCTTGAAAACATGTCTACGAGTTAAAATTTTTGTGATTCTGGAAACCTAACGGAATTTCCGAGTTAGATTGTCGATGTTTTCGCATGATTTAGCGAAATCAGACAGTGCAAAAAAGTATTATTTCAGATCTAATCGGCACGCAAAAGTGACAAAGCCATGAAGCGAGAAAGTCATAATTATCTATTGAAAATATAAACAACACGTTATTTCCGAACATTAACTGGAGAAATTGTGAAAAGAATGGAGAAATTAGATATTTATTACATTTCTAATATTTGTTAATATTTAAAATGCTTAAATTATTTTCTTATTGTAGAAACGAGATGTAAACATACACAATTGCACGAGATATATAGTAAAAAATTACTATAAACTTGGTATAGTCTTGGTATATGTTGAATGAAAAGTAATAAAATTATTGATCTATACCAAAAATGAATACATAACATTTCAATTTTTCCAACATTTCAAATTTAAGATATATTCTATACATTGCAATCTCTTTAAATTTATTTAAAATGTTTCTCTCAAATAGTGCATATATACAAAATACATGAAATAACTTATAGAATCAAGAAACTTCAAAGGAAATTTAAAGTAATTCCATATTCTACCTGCAAGTACAACCTAAAAACTTAGTGTAAAGCTCTTTTGTTTTACTGGAAAATAGATTGCAAAGAAATAATATCGCAAAAAGATGACAATGTAAGCATTTTATTTCATCACGGGTTTTTAAATTAGATGTCACAAGTCAAGAAGCTCTTGCATATATTAAAAATCATGTCGAAACAAAAAATTTTTCTTAATTAAAAATTGAGATTTGTAGAATTCTTTTATTATTATCCAATATGATTCTGAAATTGTTGCTTCTATGGATTATGTGTGTAGTCGACCAAATTGCCCTCTTTTGAAATGTTTCAAAGACACATAGCTTATTAGAATGTTTAATTACTAATTATATGCTAGTCACACCAGCATGTTATTGGGATGATGTACTGATTACACATCTCCTTTGTAATTAATTTAATGTTGTAATTAAAATATTGTGTTCAGTTATTCATTAATACATGAAGTATGAAATGTTCTCGATTTTAATTCGACAAATCGAAAATATTCGATTGATTTAAATTCCTGATTGAAATTATGATCTGGTATATATATATATATATATATATATAAATTGCATTTGTCGGGATTGATCGTAATATTTCGTCTAAATTAATTTATTTGAAACATGTAATGTTTATAATTTGGAATGTAGTGGAAAAATAGATTGTACAATAGATACTTCTATGGGATATTTGTCGTTTTATTCCTGGTAATGTTATCAAAGTTGCTTCGAGTTCATAACAAAATATGTAATTATTACATATCTTTAATAATTATTACATATCCTTCATTAAAGGATAGTTTGCGATTTTCATATATTCACGCAAAATTGAAATTTAAATTTTTCTGAATTATGAAGTTTTTGCTGGCTTGCCAATTTATCACAGATAAATTTACGTGACTTATTAAAATAGTAAAATTATCTTTATTAATTATCTTTATTTCTCTTAATTTATTTTACGATTTATCATTATTTATATGTGGATTAGATATAAGTGTAAGTATAAATATAATGTATCGCTATTGAATTTTACTCCATTCATTTTACATCAGATCGTCATTGGTTTACGATAACGTTCGATCGTTGATCGGTACGTTTTTAATACAGTGTTCGTTGCACTTTGATCCATGATTACGCATTTAAATATGAGATGCTCGATTCCTTGTCATTATATCAAACATTAGGGTATCTATCTTGTTATCTTCGACGTATCCAACTATAATAATAATTATACGCGCGCGTTGCAATAATTATCATTTTTCAAGTAGAGAATACGGAGAATCGCGAATTGATTGGAATAATCCAATTTTATTAAGTCTCTGCTGACTTCTCTTTATCTGACATCTTAAGTGTTTCTAAAACTGAATATATAAATGGAATCTGACTAAACATTTTATCAAATGAGAGAATATTTCTCTTCAAATTAATAAATAAGATTATTTCTAAGTTAATTAAAAATATCACGTTTGTCATACATTTATATTTCGCAGTGTCTAAATTCCTTTGTTGAGATGTATTTGTTATGTATTTATATTCATAGCATCTTAACTATTTAGACTTCGTAACTTTCTGTCGAACAAAGAAGCATTCGTGCGAAACTCGCGAAAGAGAAGCATACGTGCGATGTGATTTAAAATGAAACAATATTATATAGATTTCTACGCAAGCGCGTTTTATTTATTATTAAAACGCAATGATTTTATTAATTATTGATTTTATTTTATTAATTATCGCAAAATGCATTATATTACATGAAGTCAGTGAATATAAGATGAGCAAATGCTTTCACTATATAACGCAGTCCGCTGCGTACAAAAAGTATCAAAATCGGTTTACGAATAATAAACTGATTACGTATTATGAAACTGTTCGAGACAGAATTCCGATTGAAATTATACCATCTTTTCTAATAAAGACAAAAAAGATAAAAGTGACTAAAGGACTAACTAAACTAGGAGATACTAAACTAAATAATTATTAAATAATTTCCAGGATATTTACTATGTGAAAAATTATTGAAAATCTGGAATTTTCAAAGAATTTGTTTATGCCTTGAAAAGTCAGAGAATTTTATTGAAAATCAAAGGAATTTTTTTTAATTACTTTTTTAAATTTATCTTTATATCTTATATAGGAATTTAGCAATAGAATTGTTAATGACAACAGTGAATTTATCCACTCGAAACATCTAAGCAATGGTTTTACGGCTAATCTAATATTCAGTATGTGAAGATAATTTCGTGATAGATATAATTTTATTTAATACAAAATGGATATCTTTTCAATAATTTTATAAAAGTTGAATTTTATGAATTTTATGTCGGTTATGCATTATATAATTTTTTTGCTTATAGCTTTTGAAATAAATAAATAATTGAATAATAAAATAATAATTTGAATGAAATTTGAATGAATAAAATTTAAAAAGCTTATGCGATATTAAATATTTATCTTTTAGAGTAATTTAAAGTTTTTTAAATTTAATTATTGAAAGTAATTTTTAATTTTATTTTATGATTTATAAGCTTTTCTGAATGAAAACATTAAGAATTTTGTCTAATAAATGTATATTTGTAAGGTACATTTAAACATATTTTCATTTTATCTGAAATTTTTAACAATAAATTTGCTTTAAAAATCAGGGAATTCTCAAGGAAACTTTTTCAAGTTTGAGTAGATTCTCTGATTTTGATCGAAATCCATTCTATAACGTAGACCTGATTTATCGGCGCTGCGCGTGTCGGTGATATATTTATATTTACATTTTTCGCATAAAATAAATGCAAAATAGTACATAAAAAATATTAGTCTGCTAATAAAAGTAATAAAAGATATACAACGGCAACGTGTCATAATCCTTCTAATATTTAAATTCTTCTTAAAGAAATATTTTGAAGAAAGAAGGGTCTAATTATGTTCCAAGTTTGATAGATGAGATTACGCAATTATGCTAATTATTATTGAAGATGTACGAGGAATGATGGCATGAAACAGCAAGATATTTCAGACTTTAATAATTATATTTGAAATAAAATAGTCAAAGAAGAAATTTTGTTTTATTGTGCATTGTGCACTAAAAAATTCTTTAATTCAAATTAATTATATAATACTTTTAAAAAAGATAATACTTTTATATATCGATAAACACAAATATAAATTTTATAATTTATAACAATTTTATCTTTGTGTTAATCGAATAAAAGTATTTCCCTTTTTAAAAGTATTAATTAAAGGTATTAATTAAAAGTATATAATTAATTTGCAGGAATTTCCTATTTCCTTTTTATCTGTTCTCTTTAACGATGACTCACGTTTAGACATGATCTTTGTTCGCTTTTGAGATACCGCGTTACTCATCATAACGAGTTAAAAAGCTTTTATGTTAGTAGTAATAAAAAATAATTGTTTTTTACACACGATGATTGATGGTTCAAAATATTTGTCCAAAATTTGAAAGAAATATTTAAGATCGATATAATATAGTCCGATAACATTTCATGGCGAAACACTTTATACAAGATATAATAAGGAAGAAAGATAAAACATGACCATACGTCGAGGCTGACTAATGCGAACACAAAGTTTATAGATTATATATTAATGAGATGATTCTCGGTATTAGATACGATGTAGTAAACGAGCAATGAGAATCAGCGCTGTTTACGGTGCGCAATTTACATTCTTTATTACAATTTAAAAATGCATAACAACATAGATTATATATTTCGCGGTTTTACGAAGTTCCAAATTGTATCTCTCGAGCACTGTAGCTGTTTTACCGGAATTTCAATAATTCAAGGAATAAATTTTCTAAAAAATCAGAAATAAAACTTGAGAAAATTTATTCGGATTGGGGAAACAAATAAGAGATAGTGCTGGGGGAATAAATAAGAGATAGTATGTATACATACATGCATGCACGCATATCAATTATTATGTAATAAATAATTCTTTAATATGTAATTGACTAAAAACTCAGATGTGATTGCTTCTTATAATACTTATATAACATTATTTTCTAATTAATGCGACAGTTATGTTTAGGATTAGGAATTAAACTTGGCATAGTTTATAATATATATTTTGCATGAAAAATTTCCCAATAAAAGATCACTAATTTCACTAATAAAAAATAAAAATTCTTTTAAAAAGTTTTTCCTTTCTTTTTTGCAAATATATGTATATTTTTATAAATCATATTGTATATCTGAAGAATAATAGCCGTGGATTATAATAGCAAAAATTTATGATATAATATGATAACGCGTTATAAATTGCACTAATGCAACTATCATTGTAAATGATAATATGGTCAAAACAATAATGAACAAATTTCTAAAATATCCATCTATCTATATAGTTTTTAGCTGTTAAAGTCTTCGATATTATTACGATTCTCAAATCCTTTATCGATATAAAATGCAATCCAATTATTGTGACATATTGATAAAAAATTATGAATTTTTAATTTTAAGGATATGTCGATTGAAATACAAAAGTAACAAAATTATCAAGATTTAGAAGAACATATTTGCTATATGTTTTATAATCCAAATCTTTGGATTGTAAAAAAAATTAAAATATAAATATACATATATTATATTAAAATATAAATATAACGTTTAGTATTTAATATTTTTATGAAAAAAAATATTTATAATTTATCTAAATGAATGACAAAAGTTTTTGATCGTGAATACTTTCTAAAATCAATTGTAAGAAACAAAAATAACTAATAATTTATAGATTTTATAGAATTTATAGAGTTATTGAATAAACTAATACATCTAAAATATAATTAGATATATCAAATTAATAATTTTAAAACAAAATATCTTAAATGTACTTAATTTCTGTATTATTGTATTTCTCTCTCTAAAAATTAACACAAATTATCTTAGGTAATTTCCAAACTATTCAGAGAATTATACTGAATTTTTATGTCGATTTTAAAAGAAATATTAAAATAATTTATAAGGTTTCTATGGTTTTATCAATCTTTTGATATGTCACAATCTCAAAAAAAAATTCTAATTACACATTGATTTTAAAATCGATTTTAATATATACATTGTAATATTGCATAATCCTAAGAGAAAAATGCACGTGTGATTAATTGTATAAAATAAAAATGAGTTCATCTTTTTTTATGATAAGTAATAGGGTGATAGTTAAGTACTCTAAAAGATTTTAAGGAGCGTTTCCTCACACTGATTCAAAACAAAAACTTTATATGACTATGTCCGAAACAGCTTAATTTCAAAAATATAGTTAAAGTGAGAGAAAGAAATTGAAGAAAAACTTTCGTGTTTTCCAAAAATTTGGAATGGGTGTGTATACTATGACTTAAAAAAAATCAGTTGCGTACAAATTTTTTCGTAAGAAAAAGATATCTGTTTCTTCTTAGATTTCCTGATTGAATAAAAAAATAATGTATGGTTTCAAAAGATGAATATTCGTGTTTTTTAAATGTACGATGTAAGATTTCAGCGAAATAATCCGAAAAAAATAATCTAGGTTTTCGAGATTTTTGAAAAGAAACGAAATTTTTCCTTCAATTTTAATACCCTGTGAAACTTTCGGACATATAGTCAGAGAGCAAGTTATATCATTTTTCCGAATTAATATTTAAAAAGTAGAAATTTGAAAACTAATTATTAAAGAATAATTTTTCTTCAGGGTGATAACTAAATACTCTAAAAAAAATTTTATAAATTGTGTAAATCTTTTTTAAGGAACATACTTCCATATAACTGTATAAGACTACTATTTTCTAATTTCAGATATTGTTGGATATACGTATTCGCAAGAAAATTTACCATCTGCTGACGATGTGTTGCAACAGATCGGTAACGTGGTAGGTGATACCCCAGAATTAAAAAACTTGAACACATCGGCGTTGCCTAATATCGAAGAAGCCAAAAATCTTTTTAGGGAAAAGTGTACAAAAAATGGCGGACTAAATGCATTCGAAAATGCCCAACGCGCCCAGATTGAGATGGGACAGTGCGTCCAGTCACTCATTAATATTACAGAACTTCAGGCGGAGATGGAAAAGTACAAGCCAACCGGTGATTTAGATATTGTATTCAGGAACTATTGCAACAAGCGTTCCACTCTGCGAGCTTGCGTGAATAATTTCATGCAGACAGTGGAGCAATGTCTGGACGAGAAAGAAAGAGAGAATAAAAAAATAATACTGAATATTACTGATTCCCTATTAGAATTTATATGCTATAAAGAAGGAGATCGCATCGCTCGTATGTGTTAATCGATAATTTTTTTATTTATATAGTAAAATTATCGGCTAAATGCTGAAAAACATTTTTAGAAAGCATCTGAAGAACATTTCTAAGAACGGAAAGTCTTTAAAAAATATTGTACTCTCAAATAAACTTTTTAAATATATGTTTGCCATCTTGAAAATATCCTTTAGAGATATCTTTTTAAAGATGTTCCTCGGAAGTATATTTATAACATTATTGTTATTATATTATAACATATATTTTAATATATTATGTTATATTTAAATTATTTCACTTTGCAGTTTTTATATCAGCTGGAGGACCAGAGTGCTTCCAGGATAAACAACAAGCAATTCAAGATTGTGCTAATCGTACATATGGTGGTTACATACCAAAAACTGATCCGTCTAATAATGGCTTAATGGGTTTGGAGAAACTGCCGTCATTAACTTTTGGTGACAAAGAATGCAGGTAAGCATTAAAATATAAAGTTAGCAAGTTTGATTCTTTTTAATGTCTTTGACATTTTTAACATTTGTATCCAAAATCTTACATATTTCATGATTTTTAGAATTTAATGTTTAATATCAAACTTGAGTCGATATTCATAGTCCATTCATATTTAAGATTGTCTTAGGTACAAATTTAAGATGTGATAAACTAATTATATCTACAGAGTTATAATAGTGACGAACGAAGTTCGAAAAGCATCTATACGTATACACATCTATACATATTACAATAGTCACATTACGATAGATATACGATAGTCAAGTCTGCAGAGATAGATTTTGAGCAGAGCATGCTATCAATTTCTCATGACAGAAAAATTAGCAAATTTCAAATAGTAATAATCTGTAATATCTCTAATGCCAGTAAACCACTGCCAAAAATTTAACCAAGCTTGCTAACATGTTATGCCAACAGATTGTCAACAGATTGAAATCGAGCTTGATCTGTGTATTTGCACATACAAAAAATCCATATGAAATTCATATATATATATATATATATATATATATATATATATATATATATATATATATATATATATATATATATATATATATATATATGTACCGAAATAGGTAATAGTTGGGGCGGGACGGGACGGGACGGGGCGGGGCGGATACGTAGCGTGCGTGCGTACGTTGACAACGCACACGAAGTGGCTAAAAAAATAACTGGAAAGACCGAAAAGTAATCTCAAAAAGTATTTTAGGAAAAAGTATTTCAGATAAAATTTGTAGAATTTCAAAAGATCTATTTATTGGCGCTGTGAGTTGGGTCTTGAGTTGCGTCGTCAAGGTCAGATCAAAGTTACATTAATTTTTTTTAAATGGAATTTATTTTTTATTGCATATTCTTGTATCTTAATACAAGAACTTTTCACTTAATACAAGAAAATATTATATATTTCAGTATTCACTTAATACAAGAAAATATTATAATTAAGTTTATTTTTATTAAGTACTTTTCGAGTTAAAAGGCCTGAATTTGATATGCAATTGGACATAAAGAATGAAATATCTCGTAAACTATTCATTTTTTGGCAACTATGTCTTAATTCTTTTATGCACAGCATAACGAGATGAATCAATTGGTGTAAAGAAAATACATAGTTGTTTTTAAAAAAAATACATTGTTGCATTTTGCAAATCTGTTTTTTACCTACAACTTTTATTTGAAACACTTTTTTCTAAAATATTTGATTTTCGAAATATTCCATCGTCCCGTTACTTTTATATACCTGTATGTGAATGTATAGATGTGCATATATAGACGTTTTCCCGTCAAATTTTTGATTAGCTCTTTGATACTTTATTAAATTCTTATTTACAACTTTTTGAAGAAACTTATATTTATTTGATATATCACACAGGGACATGTCCAATTTTCAAATCTGTGTTGTGACGGAGTTAGAAAAATGTTCTGATCCTACGCCTGCGAACATAATGGATGCCATTTTTAACTTTGTAAAAAGAGTAACGCCATGTGAAAATTTACTCAATGCCCAAAGTGCCGCTGTTACCGGTACACAGTCCAATGCTTCGCATATAAATGCTTTTTCAATCGTAATGATATTGTTTATTATTCTCTTTCATAACAGGCTATAATAGTTTTATTTATATGTAACAATATAAACATTGTAAAGCTTTAAAATATATTCCAAATACGACGAATAGAGACATATGAAAGTTTATATAAAAATATCAGTCGAATTGATTGACGAATTCATAGTTGCGAGCAACAGATATTCGTTTTCGAATTTTGTTTTTATATTTTATTGTTATAAGTGCCTTTTATACTTTTACAAAGTAAGATTTCAAGGTTTTTCTCGTACAAGCACTACTTTTTTTCTTGTAAAAATAAAAATAAATAAAAAACAAAAATTATTTAAGCAATTTAAGACACATATATGCATATATTAAATGCAAAATTTTTAATTTTATTCGATTAACATTGTAAAAGATCCTAGAATATTTAAAATTTAATATTTCGTCCTTTTATTAAAATATAATTATTATGTCTTATTTTTTAATGTGATTGCATATATTAAAATTATATAAATGCAGGAAGAATTATATAAAAAACATATATAAATACAGGATGGGTCATGACGAGTAATATAATCGCGGTTTAGAGATAATTCAACATATTAAAATAAATCAGAAATGTAAAATTCTTTTATACAATATGTTTCGTTTCCGAGATTTCAAGGAATAATAATAGTGAGTAAAGACCTCCTAAGCAAGATGTATATGTTGAATAATATAAGTAATATGAATAATAAAACGAATGTACAAATATTTTTATTTTAATTTGGCAGTTTAACAGTATATGTGTATACACAATAAATTTCAATTATCCAGGAAATTCAATTATTTAAAAAAATCAGTCAAGTATTATTAAGTGTTGCGAAAATATTTTATATTTTGTACTTATTTGTGCATATTAAATAAACTTCAGTTTGATTGTGCGATCCATCTTGTGTATATATATATATATATATATTCCTATAAATTTTGAATATGACTACTTGATAAATGATAAAAATACTTAATTTTTTATTAGTATTATATTTATATGTCTGCTTACACTTGTCATTTGTGTTATATTACACAAATAAAACAAATATAATAAAAAAAACAGTAATAATTCTTAACATAAACATAAAAATTTAATATTTAATAAATTTAATAAATATTTTGTTCAAGTCAGAAAGAATATATATTTAAAAATATATATTTAATATTTAATACATTTTATATATGTTACAAAAATTGATTTTAGTTAACACGAAATAAATTCAGATAAATTTAGATTTCAATTATGAAACTTCGTATAGAGACTTAGAAGAATGATTTTTGCTGTGAGAGATACATTCAGAGTTATATATTTTTCAAACAGTAATAAATTGTGATGTTAGTTTATAAAAAGCTTTTATGATCAAAGAATAAAGCAGTATAGTCTATTAACAAACTCATATGACATTTTTATCAGTAAAATAGAATCACGTAAATATTATTACTGTTTAATCAACATTAAAATACAATTACGACATAAGTTACGGTAGATGTATCTTAATGCATAGTTTAAGTACCAAAGCGTTTGTAATAACTTTGTTAAGGCAATGGATTTAATAAACTCAGTACCTTATTTATAATAAAGCTTTCTTATTTCAGTCTTTAGATCAAATACGCATTAAGGGGATGCTCAAGCAACGGTCGAACTCCCGCAAGAAATTGCTCTCATCTAGAGGGAACTAAAATGTCAATAATTTACCATGATAAATTACCAACATCTACAGGGTGTTCCCCTAACTCTTAATTAATATTTTAAGGGGTGAAAGAGGATGGAATTTTGAACTAAAAGTTTCTTTCCCAATTTTGACTCAGACCATTAGTTACCTAGTTATTAACGATTAAAGTTGATTAATTAGATTGCGCCCAGCCGGAATACGTAAAAGCGTAGTGTGCTATGAGGCCCTTCGTGCTTTTTGTATATTCTCCCGATTAAAATTTTTTTTCTAATTTTTATATTAATAAATAAAATGAAATTAATTAATCAATAAATAAATAAATAAGTAGATAAATAAATAAATGAGAAAAGTTACAGTTAGAAATTTATCCAATTTTTGATTGTTTTTTTAATATTATTTATTATTTATTTATTTGTTTATTTATTTCAATTATTAATTCAATTATTGAATCCATTATTTTGACACGTGTCATGGTTCTTATGTAAAAATATTATAAATTAATATTGCTATAAATAAATTAATTACGTAGATTAAATTATTTACGTATTCGTTATTTTGGATTTTAAAACAATAACGCCATCGAATTGTAAGAATCAAATTGTAAGAAAAAATACGTAAGAATCATACATGCCAACATTATGAAATAATCAAAATAAATTTTTCACAAGCAATTCATTTAAATAATTTCTTTAAAAAACTAATTTTAATTGAAAACTGATAGCTCCATCGATTTCTCAAAAAAAAAAATACGTAAGAACCATACATGATACATGTCAAAACAATTTTTGAAGAAATCGTTTAAATAATTTATTTACAATTTATTTTGATAATGTTTTTTGCCAGTAATCTTTTTTTGTACCCATAATAAATTACAATAAAATTTTAATCGAAAGAATGTACAGAAAGCGCGAGGGTCTCAAAGCACGCTACGCTTCTGCGTACTCCGGCTGGGCGCAATCTGATTGATCAATCATTAATAACTCGGTAAATAATGGTCTGAGCCAAAATTGGAAAAGGAATTTTTAATTCAAAATTCCATTCTCTTTTACTCCTTGAAATATTAATTAAGAGTTATGGGACACCCTGTATAATTCCGTATTCTGTATTATCATATTCAAAGTAGAGACCATATATATATATATATAGATTGCGTTCAGAAACCGTAATATCTGTATACTACATAGAGTGCCATTCAATGGGTCTGTTCTTTTTAGCTGAACTGGCTGTACTAGTTCAGAATTTATCTTTCTTCTTCCAGTGTAAAAAAGAAAGATAAACTAATGAACTAGTATAACCAGTTCAGCCAAAAAGAACAGGCCTAATATCTAAATTAAAACATAATGCATGTATACATTGTATGTATACATTGTATACTTGCAATAAAATTGCGATTTTTATTACATTCTTAATAAAACAAGAAAATACTAATATTTATATTAGTCAACGAAATAATCACCGATGTTTTTTCAAAATGGAATATATAATTTTATAATTTTTTCACATAATATGATTTGTCTAGTCATTCTACGTAAGAATTAATCAACAAATTAATATTTATGAGAGATTTTATACTTTGATAATTTATTGTAATACATTTTGATATAAAATATAAAATAATTAAAGTATTTACGTGATATTCGTATTAATATTTTTATGCACAGAATAATAAGATAAATAAATTATAAAGAAGACATAATTGTTCAAAACTTTCAAAAAAGTTATGTAATTTGCAACGTGTAAGTACACAATTTTTTTAAAAGCATCTGCATATTTTTCTTACACACACACACACACACACACACACACACACACATTTTTACACACATACACGTACCTTCAGACAAAATATGTGATATTAGTAAATCAGATATTTTTTCAATATATATATCAATATATATATTAGATGTACAAAAAAGTTCTGAGCTTTAGATTTCATACAATCGAAATAACAATTTAAATTTTATATATCTTCCCGCTCTTTTGCGGTTTTAAAGCGTTGACATTTGACCTTCTAAAATGCCATACGGTTTGGCGTTTGATGCACATAACCTCAAAAATCAGTAGTGTTCACGATGGCAGTAACATAATATTCGATTTTCCATCCACTCCGCGTTTCATCTGAAGAAAAATGCTGCTGAAGCCACTGCAATGATTTGTGCTACATATGGAGAGAACGCTGTAAGTCATACTACATGTAAAAGATGGTATCAAAAATTTCGCCAAGAAGATTTCAGTCTTGAAGATGAACCGCATGTTGGACGTCCTCAAAAGATTGAAACAAACGAATTGCAAGCACTGCTGGATATAAACTCTGCGCAAACTGAAAAGGAGTTTGCAGAACAGCTTCGCATTACGCAGCAAACCATTTCCGTTTATATACGATGAGAAAGGTTCAGAAGGAAGGCAGATGGGTTCCGCATGAACTGTCCGAAGACAACAAAAATCGTCAACGTGACACTGCACTCACTTTGCTTTCAAAGTTCCAGAAAAAAGATTTTCTGCACAAAATCATTACAGGCGATGAAAAGTGAATTCTTTATGATAACCCGAAACGTAGAAAATTATGGGTTGATCCTGGTCAACCTTCGACATCGACGCCAAAGCCCAATATCCATGCCAAGAAAGTTTTGCTCTGTATCTGGTGGGATTGGAAAGGTGTGTTGTATTAGTTGTTACAACCGAGTGAAACAATCACGGCAGACCACTACCAACAACAATTGACCAATTTGAGCGATGCATTAGAAGAAAAGAGGCCATTTACTGGCCAAGGACGTCGTAAAGTGATCTTGCTTCATGACAATGCTCGACCACATGTTGCGAAAGCGACTCAGGATCATATCTTTGCGTTAGGTTGGGAACTTCTCCCGCACGCGGTGTACAGCCCAGACATGGCGCCTTCCGATTACTACCTATTCCGGTCGCTGCAGCATCATTTGGCTGATATACATTTCGAGATTTGAAGAAATACGAAAATGCATTGATGACTTTATCGCTTCGAAGCCGGTGAGCTTCTATCGTCAAGGAATTCGCAAGCTATTCGAAAGATGGCAAAAGGTCATTGATGCAAACGGGGAATATATTTCGCTGATTAATATTTTTTTGTTTGTTTTTGAATAAAGATTGAATTTTACAAAAAAAAGCTCAGAACTTTTTTGTACACCTAATATCACTCGCCGTTTCACGGATTCCGCTGATCGCCAGCAAAAACTGCTCAATGAACTCGAGCTGGATGACAAAAAGCCGTCGCAGCTCCTGCGCCAGATGTGCAGCTTCTCTGGAGACAAGGCGTCGAAGGAAATTCTCAGAGTCAAGTGGCTCTCCCTCCTGCCACCTAACGCTCAGCGCTTTTTGAAAATATTTAGCGCTCCCAACTTGGATGAGCTTGCAATTGATCACCTTTTGGAAGGGAGCAGCAACCTATATGTGTCTACGTCGCATTCTACTGGTTCTTCCTCGCCAGCCAGGCACAGTCAGGTACACTCAACCAACTTCGACAACCTGACAGGTCACCTTTTGAAAATTAAGAGCTCCTTGGCGCAGTTCATTTCGCTGATTCGCAAACTCCATTCCAGACCGGTCTCTTCAGCGTCTCACTTAAGCAGGTCTCGCTCACGCTCGCGGCCAAGAGCTTCCTCGCCCTCGCCGCGAGACGCCTGCTATTATCATCGGAGATTCGGTGCCGCGGCTCAGCGATGCACCACGCCCTGCTCATTTATGGCCAATCAGCCGTCAGAACAGTTAAACTAAGCCGACTATCGGCATCTGAGGCGGCCGTCGATAGCAGTAACAGCAATGCAATTGTCTTGCCCTCTAAGAAACTCCGGCTTCATGTTCATGGACAACCAACATCAAATTTCTAATCGATTCTGGTCTCCTTGGTGCCTCATCGCCAAACCGCTCAGGTCATCTGACGCACGTTTATACGCCGCAAACGGCTGGCCTATCAACACTTTCGACGAAAAGATCCTAACCGTCAACTTCGGCCTTCGTTAAGCCTTCAAATGGGCCTTCATAATTGTCGATGTTCAATCGACCATCATTGAAGCAGACTTCCTCCATCATTATGGTCTGATCCTAGATTTGAAAAAGCGAATATTACTGGATGCTCTTACCTCGCTCTCTAGCAAAGGCAATCTTGCCATGACTTCTGTCTTTGGAATTTCTTCTGGTCCGCCCGGCTGCCTTCGAACTCAATCGCATCAAGCTACCAGATTCTTATCAAGGAATTCGAGAATCTCGGCAGAGCCGAGCCTTCCATCAGCCTCCATTTACGTCGAACATCACATCGTGACATCTGGGCCTCCGGTTGCCGAACGAACTCGCAGACTCGCAGGTGAGAAACTCGAGGCTGCACGCAAGGACTTCGAGCTGATGTTGCATTACGGGATTATCCGTCTTTCGAGCAATCAATGAGCCAGCCCTCTGCATATGGTCCGCAAGAAGAAAGGTGATGCGCTACGGGCGATTATAAACGATTGAACGCCCAGACGGTGCCCAACAGGTATCCGATTTCACGTATCGACGACATTTTTCAACGGAAAGCGCATCTTTTCAATCTTGGATTTTAAGCGCGCTTACTTCCAGATTCCGATCGTTCAGCTGATATAGCTAAGATAGCCGTCACCACACCTTTCGGATTCTTTGAATATCTTGGCACCTCTCGATCTTCGCAATGCCACGCAAACATTCCAAAGGCATATAAACAACATTTTCAGAGGATGACTTCGTCAGCTGTTACATTAACGATGTCATCATCGCCTCTAGCTCGCACGAGGAACACCTGCAACATCTCAGAACTGTGTTTGAGCTGCTTCGCTCCCACCAACTAACCATCAACTGGAGCAAATGCCAATTTGAAAGAGCTGAACTATCTTGGCTATATGCTCGACTCTCAAGGATTCAGGCCTCCACTCGACCGGATTGAAGCCATTCTGGCGTACCCGAAACCGGAAACTGTCTCAGACCTCCGTCGTTTTCTGGGGCTGATCGATTATTATAGGCCATCCCAAGCGCTGCTACAAGCTCCACTCTGTGTTTTTCTACAAGACGCAAAGAAGAAAGACAAGCGCAAGATTCTTTGGACAACCGAATTCGAAGCAGTGTTTCAAATAAGTCTGGTTTGGCTACATGCTCTTCGTATTTCTCGCCTTCAGCTCCGCTACGGCTCATCACCGATACCTCTGACACTGCCATCGGCGCTTCTCTTGAACAACTTTTAGAGGCTTCCTGGAAGCCTCTTAGTTTTTTTCTCGAGAAAATTCAGCTACTCAGAGAGGAATTACAACACGTTCGACGGAAGCTACTTGCGATCTTCGCCTCGATCAAATTTTTCCAGCACATCCTCGAAGGCAGACAGTTTGTGATCCAGACCGACCATTGTCCTCTTGTCTACGCTTTCTCACAGCGCTCGGAGAAGGTCTCATCTCGCCAATGCCGCCAGCTTGATTTCATCGGCTGAACTATCCATCTCTCATGTAAAGGATAATGAAAACACTGTTGCTAATGCGCTCTCTCGGGTCGACATAATTACAATGTCTATTGCTCTGGATGCCGTCACAATCCACCAGGCTCAAGTTGAGGACAACGAATTGCCCTCCTTCCAGGAGAACATCTCGCTCAATCTCCTCAGGATCACCATCAAGAGTCATGACATTTTCTGTGACATCTCCTCTGGATGAGTGAGACCTTACATCCCGGAAAGCCTCAGACGTCAAGCTTTCGCTGTGGTGCACAATCTCTCTCATCCCAGCGGAAGGGCCACAGCTTGCACTCTGAGAAAGAAATTCATTTCCAGGCCAGGAATCAGAAAGGATGCTCTCCGTTGGGCACGAGAATGCCTTACGTGCCAACGGGCGAAAATCCATCGCCACAATCGAAACACGCCAATCAAGATCCTTGTGCCGGACAGACGCTTCAACCATGTTCATCTAGACATCATCGTGTTGCCTCAGGTAAACGATCTAAAATACTGTCTCACGATAATCGATCATTTCTCCAGATAGCCAGCAGCGATCCCGCTCAAGGACACCCAGGCGAGCGCAGTGACCACAGTCTTTTATAGTAGCTAGATCTGCCAGTTCCATCCCGGAATGGGCACCCCGCTCACTATAACCACGGACTAGGGCACTCAGTTCGAGTCGGCTCTTTTCTCAGTCCTCGCAAGGATGGTTGGAGCACAGAGCATCCACTCTACTCCATATCATCCTCAGTCGAATGGAATCATCGAATGTTGGCACAGGACTCTGAAGGCAACAATCCGGACATATCATGACCTCAGCTGCTGTTTACCGTGCCGTTTTCTGCTTGGCTTACGCATAGTTGTCAAAGAAGACCTCCAGGTTTCCCCGGCTGAGCTACTCTTTGGCACGTCTTTCCGCATTCCGGGTGAGTTCTTTGTCACTCAAGACCTCGCATCTGATCCGCAGGAATTTCTTCCAGCATTTAGGGGCCACATCAGGTCAATCAGGCCCACGCCGACGGCCCACCACACTAGCCCACGTCATTTCGTCCTTCAGGACCTAGCCACGTGAACCCACGTGTTCAAACGGGTGGACTCGGTGAAGAAGCCTTTGGAGCCGCTCTACACCGGCCCGCACCATGTCGTCCGGAGACTCGATAACAAAGTCTTCGTCGTCCTTGTTAACAGGAGAGAGAAAACGGTCTCGGCCGACTGTCTCAAGCTAACTTATCTGGCATCTGCAGCAAAATCAGCGCACCAACCTAGCCAGCGGCCAGAGTCTCAACAGCCAGCATCTGCAGCTCCTGCCAAAAGAGTACATTTTTCGTGCCGCCGGCGAAGACCACTGAGAGGGGAGTGGCTATGGCGTCCTTGCCACCCGCTTCCGCTCTGCCGCTTGGCGCGCCCGCCGCTGAGCGCCATCGTCCGCCGAGGAAGCAGACGCTTATACCACGATTAGAATGTAACTTCCGCTTTCTTCCCCGTCATCCACATTGCATCGAGCGACTATTACGCGTCTCTTCGTGCCAGCCATCGGAACGCGCAGACAGCCACGCGTCTAGTGGAGAGAGAGAGAGAGAGAGAGAGAGAGAGAGAGAGAGAGCAGATATTACCGTCGTCACCGTGTTGTGCAAGTGCGTGACCGCGCCCAGTGCAGTGTCAAGTGCTGTGTCCGTGCCGGGTTTGTGCTGTGTTGCG